CGTGGTGGTGAAAAGCTCCATTGAGTCCCATTGGTGGCGAGAGCAGCCTAAACCTGCTGATTTTCTCTGGATGTTCGGTGGTAAATTTTCTCTAGGACCTCTGCTGCGCCCACGAAGGTAGTGGCATTGTCACTGTACATGACAGCTGGAATACCCCGCCTTCCGGTGAATCTCTTGTAGGCTCCGATGAAGGCGTCCGTTGTCTGCCTGGTGACTAGCTCTAGGTGAACTGCTGATGTGGTGAAGCACACAAAAACTGCAATGTGCACTGACCCTGGTTGTGCATTCGTTGGTCTCCATTTGAGGATGGCGAATGGTCCTGCATAGTCCACCCCTGTGTGGAGAAATGCTCTTGCTGGTGAGATTCTCGTTGCTGGTAGTTGACCCATCTGTTGCTGGGCCTGTCTTCCTCGGTGTCTGGTGCAGATGGCACAGCGTTGAATATATGCTCTAACTGTGCCTCTGTCGCCGATTATCCAGTACCTTTGACGTATGTCGGCCAAGGTGAGTTGAGTTCCTCCGTGTAGTGTTTTGCGGTGAGCTTCTTCGACGACTAGTGTGGTGAGGCGTGATTGGCGAGGCAAGATTATTGGGTGAATTTCGTCTGGATTTAACTGCGAGTTCTTGAGGCGTCCCCCAAGTCTCATGATCCTTTCGTTGTCTAGTGTGGGTGTCAGCTTGGCTAGTTGATGATTTCTCGGTAGTTGGTGATTTCTCTGGAGTACTCGAATGGCTGGCCCAAAGTATTTATGTTGGGTTATCTTTACCCAAAATAACCTCGCGTCGTTGAGTTCTCTTGTTGTCAAGACAGGTCCTNTTTACCCAAAATAACCTCGCGTCGTTGAGTTCTCTTGTTGTCAAGATAGGTCCCGGGGGCGTTGGCTGCCTCCTGAATCTGTCAATAGCTCTGTTGACCGTAGCTGTTATGGCTAGCAATTTAGCCATCGTCTGATATCTGTTGAGTAGCTCTGCAATTTCGTTGATTTTAATTGCAACTGGATGTGCTGGTGCTGGTTTTGCTTCTCTGGCCACTTCTGGGATGTCCATAGCTGGGGCGTCGATTGATGATTGTGGCCATTCTTCAGGATCCTGATTGATCCACTCAGGTCCTGACCACCACAGTTGATGATCTTCTAGCTGGCTCGGTGATATGCCTCTGGAGGCTTAATCAGCTGGATTCTCCTTTCCACTGACATGTCTCCAGGTAGCATTCGG